TATATATATTTATACAATCTTTTTGGCATGGATGTGTCAAGATACATTTAGCAGTATATAGGTCAAGACAAATTGAGACCCCCCCCCCCCGAAATAATTGTAAATGGTCTAAATATCTCAAAAACATTGACTCAAACAATCCCTGCTGTCTAAACTCATGACAAACATATTTGGTAAATCAACTTTAACATACATTACCATGGTAACAAAGTATTCATTTAAATTCATACAGTCATACAAAGAAACTCACTTATATAAGGATACCCACATCAGCCCCAGCCCGGGGTTGAACTCTCGACCTACGGAATCTGTATCCAAGCAGTACAGGAACAGCGCGTTAGGCTATCTAGGCAAGTCAAAAAACTAGCTTTCGAAGCCGACAGAATTCTCACAGCGATGCCCTACGTACACTACAGGATCATTGAGAATAGAATTGAGATATAGTTATTTGGACATTAGTTCTAGAGGATCATTACCAATACCTGTTGTAATGAAATTAATTTAATTATAAAGCACAATTAACAACAAGTCTTAACCTAATATAACTGCCCTAGGTGAAGAAATATTAAAATAGAAAGCACAAAGAAATTCCCTTTTTTAAAGATACCCTCTTCCTCCCAAGCAACCCTCGACCAACGGAATCTACATGTATCTCCTAGCTGTATTATACCGTTCAGCTATCTAGGCAAGTCAAAAATTGCTTTCGATGCCGATGGAATTCTCACAGCACTGCCCTACACTACACGGTCATTGAGAATAGAAGTGAGATATAGTTGTTTGGACGTGGAGCTATGACTTACATATTTCATATTCCTTATGACAAGACATTTCTTAGGGTACCACTAAATTTGACCTTGACCTTCGAATTTTACCCACTTTTACACAAAAATACCAAACTTTTACTTGACCATATCTTTTGAACAGTAGACACCAGGACTTCAATTCTTCATATATGTTTTATTTATGGAGAGACCTTTCATTGGATACCAACAACTTTGACATTTTGACCTTGAAGATTTCCGTACTTATGAAAAAAACTTTAACCTTGGCCATAAGCTTTGAACAGTAAGGGCTAGTGCTTTCATACTTCACATATGTAATCCTCGTGAAAAGAACTTTAACTCTTTAACCGTGACCTTGGAGTTTGACCTTTAAAAAAGCAAATCTCAACCAAAACTTTTAAAGGGTTAGTGTTAGTCTTTTCATGCTTTAAATATTTAATCCTTGTGAAAAGACCTTTCGTTTGATATCAAGAACTTTGACCCTTTTACATTGGCCATGGTTTTTAACCAGCAATTTAGAATTTTTAACCTTGGTCATAACTTTTGTAGGGTTAGGGATAGGGCTTCTATACTGCACTTAGAAATTCTTTGTGGCCAGTCCTTTCGTTGAATACTAATTACACTGACTTTTTGACCTAGACTTTGGAGATTTCCATACTTAAGAAAAAACTTTAACCTTGGCCTACTTTCCTATTTCACAGTTGTAGTTCCACTGAGAATATCCTCCTCTGGGTACTAATGTATTGTTGTCATACGGGGGCGTCAATGATTCACAAGCTATTAACAGACATATTTTTGTATTCATGTGAAGCGGAATTCGTTCAAAATCCTATGCATGGAAACAATGACATGCATAGGTGAGCATAAATCCAATATGCATTTGTAAAATATTGAAATGTTCCTCTGTGGAGAAAACACAGATTAGTTTGGAAGTTGATGAATCTGTTAGTGTTGCTGTGAAACAGCAAATGATATTTTGAAGTGCGAGAGAATATTTATAAAATTGAAAAGTTTAGATGCGAAAACGACAATTGCGGGGGGGGGGGGGATTATAAAAAGATATGGGGGCTGATTTCTTAACCTACCCGGATAACTCCATTGACTTCCTCCAAATACTTTATTAATTCATTTAGTTTCCTGTCAATTTTGCCTAGACTATCTCGTTTTGTAAAATTTTAGATAGATTTTTGCAACCCCTGAGGTAACAAGCATGCTCACGAATTTATGAGGTGGAACTTGTTTACCATAGTTTTGATTCGCACGTGGTCTTTGATTCATATTAAAGCTACTGTGGTGTAGGAAATCACATGTCTTACAATGTCAATGGATTTAAATTGTTACAACAGAAATCCACTTTATTCCATCTTTATCATCAGGACTGCCATTCATTCCCACCTACTGAATTTGGAAATATCTATCAAATATATAAGATTTTAACCATGGAGAATTCTATTATTTTTGTCTTGAAACACGAGACCTAATACAGGTCATGGTTCCTGTAAGTAATAAAAAAAAAGCCCCCTTTTGCTTTCAAACAAAAATCCAAACCTTTGAAAGTTTTCCTCAAACCCAATTACAATATATATATTTATACAATCTTTTTGGCATGGATGTGTCAAGATACATTTAGCAGTATATAGGTCAAGACAAATTGAGACCCCCCCCCCCCGAAATAATTGTAAATGGTCTAAATATCTCAAAAACATTGACTCAAACAATCCCTGCTGTCTAAACTCATGACAAACATATTTGGTAAATCAACTTTAACATACATTACCATGGTAACAAAGTATTCATTTAAATTCATACAGTCATACAAAGAAACTCACTTATATAAGGATACCCACATCAGCCCCAGCCCGGGGTTGAACTCTCGACCTACGGAATCCTAACAGAACAGAAACAGCGCGTTAGACTGCTGGGCTATCTAGGCAAGTCAAAAAACTAGCTTTCGAAGCCGACAGAATTCTCACAGCGATGCCCTACGTACACTACAGGATCATTGAGAATAGAATTGAGATATAGTTATTTGGACATTAGTTCTAGAGGATCATTACCAATACCTGTTGTAATGAAATTAATTTAATTATAAAGCACAATTAACAACAAGTCTTTACCTAATATAACTGCCCTAGGTGAAGAAATATTAAAATAGAAAGCACAAAGAAATTCCCTTTTTTAAAGATACCCTCTTCCTCCCAAGCAACCCTCGACCAACGGAATCTACATGTATCTCCTAGCTGTATTATACCGTTCAGCTATCTAGGCAAGTCAAAAATTGCTTTCGATGCCGATGGAATTCTCACAGCACTGCCCTACACTACACGGTCATTGAGAATAGAAGTGAGATATAGTTGTTTGGACGTGGAGCTATGACTTACATATTTCATATTCCTTATGACAAGACATTTCTTAGGGTACCACTAAATTTGACCTTGACCTTCGAATTTTACCCACTTTTACACAAAAATACCAAACTTTTACTTGACCATATCTTTTGAACAGTAGACACCAGGACTTCAATTCTTCATATATGTTTTATTTATGGAGAGACCTTTCATTGGATACCAACAACTTTGACATTTTGACCTTGAAGATTTCCGTACTTATGAAAAAAACTTTAACCTTGGCCATAAGCTTTGAACGGTAAGGGCTAGTGCTTTCATACTTCACATATGTAATCCTCGTGAAAAGAACTTTAACTCTTTAACCGTGACCTTGGAGTTTGACCTTTAAAAAAGCAAATCTCAACCAAAACTTTTAAAGGGTTAGTGTTAGTCTTTTCATGCTTTAAATATTTAATCCTTGTGAAAAGACCTTTCGTTTGATATCAAGAACTTTGACCCTTTTACATTGGCCATGGTTTTTAACCAGCAATTTAGAATTTTTAACCTTGGTCATAACTTTTGTAGGGTTAGGGATAGGGCTTCTATACTGCACTTAGAAATTCTTTGTGGCCAGTCCTTTCGTTGAATACTAATTACACTGACTTTTTGACCTAGACTTTGGAGATTTCCATACTTAAGAAAAAACTTTAACCTTGGCCTACTTTCCTATTTCACAGTTGTAGTTCCACTGAGAATATCCTCCTCTGGGTACTAATGTATTGTTGCCATACGGGGGCGTCAATGATTCACAAGCTATTAACAGACATATTTTTGTATTCATGTGAAGCGGAATTCGTTCAAAATCCTATGCATGGAAACAATGACATGCATAGGTGAGCATAAATCCAATATGCATTTGTAAAATATTGAAATGTTCCTCTGTGGAGAAAACACAGATTAGTTTGGAAGTTGATGAATCTGTTAGTGTTGCTGTGAAACAGCAAATGATATTTTGAAGTGCGAGAGAATATTTATAAAATTGAAAAGTTTAGATGCGAAAACGACAATTGCGGGGGGGGGGGGGGGGATTATAAAAAGATATGGGGGCTGATTTCTTAACCTACCCGGATAACTCCATTGACTTCCTCCAAATACTTTATTAATTCATTTAGTTTCCTGTCAATTTTGCCTAGACTATCTCGTTTTGTAAAATTTTAGATAGATTTTTGCAACCCCTGAGGTAACAAGCATGCTCACGAATTTATGAGGTGGAACTTGTTTACCATAGTTTTGATTCGCACGTGGTCTTTGATTCATATTAAAGCTACTGTGGTGTAGGAAATCACATGTCTTACAATGTCAATGGATTTAAATTGTTACAACAGAAATCCACTTTATTCCATCTTTATCATCAGGACTGCCATTCATTCCCACCTACTGAATTTGGAAATATCTATCAAATATATAAGATTTTAACCATGGAGAATTCTATTATTTTTGTCTTGAAACACGAGACCTAATACAGGTCATGGTTCCTGTAAGTAATAAAAAAAAAGCCCCCTTTTGCTTTCAAACAAAAATCCAAACCTTTGAAAGTTTTCCTCAAACCCAATTACAATATATATATTTATACAATCTTTTTGGCATGGATGTGTCAAGATACATTTAGCAGTATATAGGTCAAGACAAATTGAGACCCCCCCCCCCCGAAATAATTGTAAATGGTCTAAATATCTCAAAAACATTGACTCAAACAATCCCTGCTGTCTAAACTCATGACAAACATATTTGGTAAATCAACTTTAACATACATTACCATGGTAACAAAGTATTCATTTAAATTCATACAGTCATACAAAGAAACTCACTTATATAAGGATACCCACATCAGCCCCAGCCCGGGGTTGAACTCTCGACCTACGGAATCCTAACAGAACAGAAACAGCGCGTTAGACTGCTGGGCTATCTAGGCAAGTCAAAAAACTAGCTTTCGAAGCCGACAGAATTCTCACAGCGATGCCCTACGTACACTACAGGATCATTGAGAATAGAATTGAGATATAGTTATTTGGACATTAGTTCTAGAGGATCATTACCAATACCTGTTGTAATGAAATTAATTTAATTATAAAGCACAATTAACAACAAGTCTTAACCTAATATAACTGCCCTAGGTGAAGAAATATTAAAATAGAAAGCACAAAGAAATTCCCTTTTTTAAAGATACCCTCTTCCTCCCAAGCAACCCTCGACCAACGGACTCTACATGTATCTCCTAGCTGTATTATACCGTTCAGCTATCTAGGCAAGTCAAAAATTGCTTTCGATGCCGATGGAATTCTCACAGCACTGCCCTACACTACACGGTCATTGAGAATAGAAGTGAGATATAGTTGTTTGGACGTTAGTTTTTAGGGGATCGTTACCAGTACATATTGAAATGAAATTAATTTTATTAATAAAGCACAATTTATAATAATTCCTTATCCTTATCAAAGTGAATTTCTTTGCGCTTTCTAAATTAATATTTCTTCACTAAAGGCAGTTATATTAGTTTAAGATTTGTTGTAAATTAGACTTAAGTCAGTCGCGGCCTAGGTTGGACTTTCCGATCATGCAGCGAGCACTCATTCAACTGTACGAAATTTACATGTATAAAAGTTGCATAATTAATCTGTTCTGTTATCAAATAGGAAAAACATAACGGGGGATAGCACTGTTTCTTCACTATGTACAATGTAGAGATTTTCAATGCCAGGATGGCATCTGCCAAAGTTATGACCTCATAAGTTATGTTCTCAAAGTACGTTGATTAACTAATCTTATAAGTGCATGACTTTATTCTGACTGTTTCGTTTCCTTTATCGCGTAAATTATTGATGTCTTTTTTAATAAGCTGATTTTTATCTATAGAAAGTTCGTAATGTTTTGTTAGACAAGAATTTATTGTATCGTAATTATTACACAATTATCATCAAACATTAAGTTTTATACATTTTAAGTCTACGAGGTCCTTAAGAAATATAAATTATAAAAGATGATACGGTTCTTTTTTATCATTCTTAAATGTTTGTGAATTGATGCATTATTATGTTAAAATAAGATTATTTAGGAAAATCTCACGACGAATTCTGTTCGAATTCAAATGAATGCAAAGAGGGTTTTGAATGCCATAAAACATGCCAATGCCCAAATAATACATTCTGGGACGGAAACACCTGTGCTCCAAGTAATCACTGTTTAACGTTAATATCATTAAATATTTTATAATATATTATATGAAAAACATATTGGGGGATAGCACTGTTTCTTCACTATGTACAATGTAGAGATTTTCAATGCCAGGATGACATCTGCCAAAGTTAAGACCTCACGATGACATTTTGAGAGGACAAAATATGTTCTCAAAATACGTTGATTAACTAATCTTATAAGTGCATGACTTTATTTTGACTATTTCGTTTCTTTTATCGCGTAAATTATTGATGTCATTTTTAATAAGCTGATTTTTATATATAAAAAGTTCGTAATGTTTTGTTAGACAAGAATTTATTGTATCGTAATTATTAAACAATTATCATCAAACATTAAGTTTTACACATTTTAAGTCTACGAGGTCCTTAAGAAATATGAATTATCAAAGATGATATGGTTCTTTTTAGCATTCTTAAATGTTTGTGAATTGATGCATTATTATGTTAAAATAAGATTACTTATTTCTCGGTATTTAGGAAAATCTCACGACGAATCCTGTTCGAATTCAAATGAATGCAAAGAGGGTTTTGAATGCCATAAAACATGCCAATGCCCAAATAATACATTCTGGGACGGAAACACCTGTGCTCCAAGTAATCACTGTTTAACGTTAATATCATTAAATATTTTATCATTATCATTATTATAAATGCAAATGGAATGGGACACTTTATAGAAAAAAATTGGTTTATATATTTGATAAATGTACAGTATGTACACTTTCCATTTAATTGCTCTTTTTTTTTTTTTTAAGAACCACTCATCTACCAGTGCAGAAACTTAACTGTTCAGACAACGGCACATGAAACAAATATTAATGTGTCTTCTGTTGGGAGAAAAGACGCCAGTCATTTCATTATCACTTCAAATGGAAATGACGTCATCTATAAGCACCGAATTGTGGATATTTTAGAATTAAAAAATCTGACGTCATCAACGGCATATCAGTTAATGTTATATGCAGCAGTAAATTTTTCACAGGGATTTGAACTAAGTAGTAATAATTGCCATTTCAATGTTACTACGTGTAAGTATACTCAAAGAGACATAAGGTGTTTATTCAGAAAGACAATATATACTCTTCAAAAAAAGAAACGCATAGTAGGAAATATGCCCTGAAAACCGTGTAAGACATAACAAGCTTTTGTGTCTCGTCTTTAATTGTCTGCCTATATAATTTATTTTGATTTATATAGTTTTGTGGAGTTACCCATTGAGTATAACTGTTCCTTAAACCTAACTGATCTATTACTGACATTTGCAGTAAGATTTGAAACATGAAGTTTATTTTGTTTTTCTGTAGATCCTGTTTTGAACTGCACGGCTTTCAAGGTTGTCTTGATTAATGAAAGTTACAAACTCGAATATCCGGAGCAGTACCATGCCCGACTAAACAGGATCTTTGTGACATGGTCTTCCAATATAAAGAATAAATCTTTTCCTTTAGATAGAAATATAATGAATCTTACACTAAAGCCGGGAATAACGTATGATTTCTCAGTCATAGCAGAAGGAGTTTCTAATCTTTGGACAAATGAACCCTGTAAATTCAGTAAAACAATTGGTAAATATTTTTGTTGATACACATCATTTCATTCAGTGAGAAAAATAATGCTTATTTATGTTAATAATACTTCCATTTATTCTTGTAAATTATATAAAAATATTCAGTTATGTTGAAAAAGATCTCATAAGACAATTTGATTATCAGATAAAATGAAGTCATTACAAAACATAAACTGCAAAATACAGTAAGTCATGCTGTGCATTACATTCATAGATTCCTTTGCATGTGTACCACAATATTATTGTGCACCAGAAATGTGCATTTGGGTTTTTAGCTCACCTGAGTCGAAGGCTCAAGTGAGCTTTTCTGATCACTTTTGTCCATCCGTCTATCTAGCCGTCTTTCTGTCTTTCCGTCTGTAAACTTTTCACATTTTCGACTTCTTCTCAAGAACCACTGGACGAATTTTGACCAAACTTGCTACAACGCATGATTGACTGAAGGGAAATTCAAAGTGTTAAAATGAAGGTCCGAGTCCCCTCACAATGGGAGATAATAAAGAAAAGACAAAATTAAGGTGGGTCATTAAAAATTCTTCCTCTCAAGAACCTCTGGGCTAGAAAAATGAATTTTGTATGGAAGCATCCTGGGGTTGTGTAGATTTTAAATTGTTCATATCATGACTCTGGGGGTTGGGCGGGGCCACAAGGGGGAATCAAAGTTTAACATAGAAATATATAAGAAAAATCTTTGAAAAATCTTCTCCTCAAGAACCAATGGACCAGAAAAGCTGAAACTTATTTGGAAGCATCCTTTGATAGCGTAGAATTTTAATTTGTCCAAATTATGGTCCGTAGGTTATGATAGGGTCACAATGGGTTAACAAGGGGGAAATCTGGTAAAGAACAGCATGGTCAAAGCACCTCAGGTGAGCGATGTGGCCTTTTAGCCTCTTTTTTTGAAAGTCTTGTAGGTAACTAGTTCGATGCACCAGATGTGCATTCAGCACATTATATCTCTTTAGTCATGCACAAGATCGTACCGAAACATTGGTAAACCGAAATATTTAAATATTGAAAAGAAGTGTCAAAGACTAATGTCAAATAAGAAGGATAAAAAAGCTTTGCATAAGGAAGATAGTACTTTATTTTGAATACATTTCTAAATTTTACCACTGCGATTAAGTCCGTATTTTCAATCTATAGCTAGTACTGATGAATATAAATATAACTTCTTTAATTTTTTTCAAATTATAAATACCAGTTGTTTTTTTCCAGAAGGTATTAATTAAAATGGAAATTATTTTTGAAGTCATTCAGAGCTGTGCGGTTCTGTTTTAGTTGATTTAAATATGAACAAATGAAAAGTTTTTGTATACTCGTAAATAAACGTAATTTATGTTGTATGATCATAAAATCTTTCTTTCAGAAATAGAAACTCCAAGATGCAGTGATTCTCTGGTTAAAGACGTTACAAATGATTCAGTGATTTTAAACATGACAAGTTGTATATCAAGAGGCATTACTACATTTCAAGTAGATCTGGGTGAAACCCCTATGATTGAAAATAGACAGGCTATGCTTGTTAATAGAACTGCTCAAAACATAACAATAGATAAACTAAGGCCTGGAATGACATATGACATCACGATTGCAGCGTTTGCGAAGGAAGCGTTGAAATTTTCAAAAAAGTTTAAGCAAACAATTTATACAAGTAAGTAAATGTTACTCTCTCTCTCTCTCTCTCTCTATCTCTCTCTCTCTCTGTCTCTCTCTCTCTCTCTCTCTCTCTCTCTCTCTCTGAGGGTCTGTGAGGGAGGTCGGGTGTGTGTGCTTAGCAAGTAATCTTTATCAAAAAGCTTTCTTGACGAAGCAATTAATGTTATAAGAACACATCATATGTGATAGTATGATCCCTTAATTTTTGTTGGGATGGGAGAGTGCTTAATTTTCCATTACTTTTAAGTACTCCGATCCTCAGTTTCTGAAAATCATATCATGCCTTGACTAATTGAAAATGCTCACAAAAGTTTCACTGAATTATCAAAGTAATGTACGTTTATCCACGATAATTCTTCAAACTTCATCTTTAAAGCTAATTATATTGTGTAGGGAAAATTAGTTAATCTGAAATAAATGTTCAAATATGCGAATAAACACATACTATGGATTTTTATTGAAATTTGATTAAAAAAAAATAAAATTAAGAAATAAAAATCATAGGTATAGCTTTTGTAGAAATTGCAAATTTTTTTTTAAGGTAGTTTAATTTCCTCCATTTACTTCGATCATATTTACAATCTATTGTGTATAAACAGTTTCCTTTCATTGCAAAGAACCATCAATCACATCTAATTTCATATAATGTAAATAAAAATTGGTATCTATGATATCTAAAATAGAAACACAATTTCTTTAAATATAAGTAACTTTAAAGTACTTTTTGGGGTAAATATTTTGACTTTTTATAAGACCTTCCTGATAACTTCAAAGAACACATAAAGAGGTATAAAATGAAAATTGTTGCATGAAAAGATTAATTTTCAAGCTTCATTTTGAGACCATTTGAACTAAATAATAAATTAAAGAGTTATCCTACCTGACTGAAGATCGGAGTTAGGCTGCCACGAATTAGTTAATATTAGAATCGATTCGGTTCAAACAAAAACTTCGATTTTCGAATAATTTCGGTTCGATTATAAGAAATAGATTTCGTTTTATTTTTTGTAAAAAAAATCTGTAATCTTTGATTATCACAATCAGAAGACATTCTTTAATAAATAATAATTCATACTTTTAAGGTTTATTAAAATAAAATGGAATGAAAAGGCAAGAAAACAAAGAAAATACCTAATGTTCTAATTACAAAGTATGACCCAGAGAATGAAATGTCTGCAATCCAAATTATAAAAAATGCTGGTCATGGGTTTTAAAAAATGAAACATGTAAAAATAAATCTTTCAAACAACCAATGATTTCATATCAATTATTATGCTTAACATAAAAGTATTGGTGATTTGCTTACAACGGCTGTTTGGCCACAATAGAAAGGGTTAGATCTCTGCCGTTTTTTTAATTTTTCTATGCACCAATACTATATTACTTATATTAAATGTAGTCATAACAAGAATGTCAATAATTATTTCACATTCAAAACGATCTCAATATTAAATAAAAATAAGGAAATTCGCAGCACTGTGCCGGTTCCTTAAATTTAGAATTATGTGGCTGAGCGGTGTTGCCTTTTAATCTATATACTTTGTGCCATCTTTCTGTCGAAAATGGAACTTGGAAGTAGCTCCCCCGTCGACTTCTTCGCGGCCATTTTCATGTTTTTGTTCCCGTTAACATGATTCGCCACAATTTCTTCCGATTAACCTATCGGAATGCGTAACAACAGCAAATGTTAGTATGAAAAAATCAACCCTGAATCGAATCGAAATCTTGGAAAACGTACCGAATTGAACCGAAGATTGTGAATCGCGGTTAACCGATATTTCGGTTAAATCCGCGGCAGCCCCAATCGGAGTATACCTTAATTATTGAAGACGTTATACTCAAATTTATATTTTAAGTCCCCTCCGTCCGTCCGTCTAGCTTTCCGTCCGTCTTTCTAGCGTCTAGCCGTCTGTCATTCTTATTACTTACTCTTCCAAACTTTTTTTTTTGAAACGATTTTTGGTATGCGAGTGCATGTTGATAAGTTACAGATCAAGTTTGAATGTTACGCTTCATTGATTTTTGAAGATATTATGGCATTTTTAATTTTTCATAATATGGTTTCAGATTGGGTTCGTGCTGCACTAAATAAATGATCTAAACGAGATTGCAATGTTAAAATTATTACTTTGCAAGCTCTTGCTGGGTAAGCTTATCTATAAAAAAAGGATATTATAAACTGACATCTAAACAGAGAGAAAGTAACCTGTACTACATGTATTGCTTTTGTAATACTGGAATCGGTTGGTGATTTTACATATTTGGCTACTCATCCTAGATAAAATTAACTAGGAGACTTACTGTTCACAGAACAATAAGAAGCTTCCACCTTCTTTGAATTTCAATTTTGTTTTATATCTGACTCCTTGAAATTAAATTCTATGAAATAAGAAACCAAAATTGTCTTAAAGGATAGAAAAATGAAAAATTAAAAAAAAAATGAAATGACCTTGACCTTTGACCTTGAATGAATTTTTAAGGTCAAGGGTCAACAGCTAACCACCAGTTATACGACTTATAATTTTCAAGTTATAAGGTTTAATAGTAAGTACAAGGATGTTAAAGGGCGATAACTTACATAAGGGTCATCAGTATCTTTTGCATTTATACAATGAAGTTATGATGCAAGAAGATCCTTAAGACATTAGTGAAAGTTTGGGGGTCTCTACGGTTTCGAAGGAGTAGCGATAAGGTTTTTGAACAAGGGGCAATAACTTTTAATAGGGTCAATCTTAGGGGACAAGAATAATATCTTTGAAATAGCTTTAAGAGGACATAATTATCAATGATGCAAAGACATAAAGTATATGTTGAAAGACGTACAAAAGAGTTATATAAAAAGCTTAATTTCTCATTTTTGCAATGACCTTTGACCTTTGCATAAATTTTAAAATGAAATGTCAATGAATCTTATGCACTAAGTCCCATGGCTATATGAGTTCTTCCAACAAATATTCAGGTTAATAGGTGTGAAGGGGCCACAATGCAATTGACCCTATGCTTCTATGAATTATAGTTTTCAAGTTATAAGGTCTAATAGTAAGTACAAAGAAGTTAAAGGGCAATAACTCACATAAGGGTCATCAGATCCTTTTGCGCTTAAACAGTGAAGTATGGCATAAAGTCCCTTAAAGACATTAGTGAAGGTTTGGTGTATCTACGGTCTACAGTTTCGGAGGAGTAGCGATAAGGTTTTTCACAAAAGGGGATATAACTTTTTCAAGGGTTAATCTTAAGGTACAAGATTGTAATCTTTGAAATAGTTTTAAGAGTGCATTTTAATGATGCATAGACAGATGATATAGGTTGAAAGAGATTAAAATAGCTTAATTTCTCACTTGTGGAATGAACTTGATCTTTGACCTTTGCTCAAATTTTAAGTGTCAAAAATAAATGAAATCTTATGCAGTTGGTCCAATGTCTCTACGATGCCGTTTTGAAAATTTTTGATGTTTCAAATTTAAAACTTTCGGGGGCAATAACTCATATAAGGGGTCTATGGATCCTTTCACAATGCATAGATTGAAAGATCCTCTCAAGTAGTCAAAGACATTAGTGAAGGTTTCATACCTATACGGTTTACGGTTTGGCAGGAGAAGCGATAACAAGCATTTCTTGCGTAAAGGGCAGAACCTTCCAAAGGGGTCAAAGTTCAAACTTCTTGGGTCGTTTTTGCATGACTTTAAATATCCAGATCACTAACTAAAAAAATTTCCGATAAGTCTTGCGGTTTCAAAAGTCCGGCAGAAAAAGAACTAGTAGACTAATTGTTCACTGAACATTTAATGAAGTTCGATTCTTTTTAAAGTTTTCATGTCATTTGAATTAAAAAAGAAAAATTGAAAAAAAAAAAATGAAAAAAAGTTCCTCCAGCTGGGCTTGAACCTACTACCCTTAGTTTGTAAGTCGGACTCGATAACCATTGAGCCATCAAGTTCTATACAAGTACAAGGTGTAGGCGTATTTAGTAAAGTAATTTTTTAAGGTAGAAGAGAATAGTTTCGTAGGAAGTACCGGTCAAATTTCTTTAAAAAACTGAAATATTGCCTGTTTGATGTGATATTGTATGTAGGAAAATGATGGAATAATTATGGGACACATTTGCAGTGAAGCAATGACACTTAGCATATACAGAGTTTTAAAAGCGAAAGTAATACACGTGGTCAGTTGCAGAGGAAATTTAAAATCCCGGAAAAACAGTGAGTGAGTCATTGGTATTTTTTCAACACCATATCGTATAAAGAGGGGTAACTGCAATTGATTTAACCTATCTAAATTGCGTGGAAATTTAACTATTATGACAAATCGCTATTTCCGAGATTCTGTCGATTCATATTTAAATCTAAGTAAAATTGAAATAAATTCCATACAGCTAAGAAAGCAAGAATACTTGGTATTAAACTGTCGTGATAGAGCAGGAGAATCGAATGATATTAACAATAATTGCAGAAATAGCCAATACGAGCTTTAATTAATTTTTATGTTCAGCAATAACTAAATTTCAGACAGAAAAAAATGCAGATTTTGCCGATATTCACTAGAATTTCATTATACTTGAAAGACTCACCTTAAAACTCTCAGGACACTTGTTTTAAGGTCTCTTCTTTCTAATATACTGAACTTCATGTCGATCTGTCTTGTCGTTTGAGTTTTAAACTATTTCTCTAGGCTGGTGCTGATTTTTTTTTTATAGGAGGGGGTATTTTATAAGCATTTGTAAGAGAGATGGTTGTAAATATCTCCACGACCTTTAGCTTGATTGTGAACTTTGGGTCAATGGGGTCAAAGGTCAAAGTCATCAAGAAAAACCCTGATCTACTTGTGATTAACTCTTCAATCTTAATCTAGGTAAAGGTGATGGATATTTCCTTATTACTTCTGAGTAAGGGTCAAACGTCAAGGTCAAATATGAAGGTCAAAGGTCATGTTTTTAAGCATACACAAGCAATTGTAACATTTTTCCAACGACTTTGACCTTTGCCTCTGACCTAATCT